TAAAAAGTCGAATCTGCACTCTTAATTTTTCAACCTACACAGAAGTTAACTTGAATTGGATTATAGATCTCAAAGTCAAAACTTTAAAACTTCTTGAAATTTTAGAAACTTGAGAAAATCCTTATGACTTTGTGTTAGGCAAAATTTACTAGCCACAAAATAAAATTTGATAAATTGGGTTACATCAAAATTAGAATCACTTGCTTCTCAAAAGACACTGTTACAAAAAATGTAAACAACTATAGACTGGGACAAAGTTTCCAATACATATAGTCTGATACAGGACTTGTATCAATAATAATAAGAAAACTGAATTAAATGTGGGCAGAATAATTGCATAGGAATATTATCAAAGGAAATTATAATCCCATTGTGGGCAGGTTGTGGCTCAGTGGTGGAGTGCTTGCCTAGCACGTGCGAGGCTCTGGGTTTGATCCTCAGCACCACATAAAAATAAATAAATAATGGTATTTTATTCAACTACAACTAAAAAAAAATATAAATAAAAATACATATAAAAAAGAAATCATAATCCCTTGAGAAGCAAAGATGCATATGAAAAGATACACTACATCAGGGATTGGAAAACTATGACCCATTCCCTGTTTTTAATAAGTTTTATTGGAACACAACCACACACACTCATTTACTATCATTGAAGCTGTTCTCATGCTATAGGGGAAGAGTTGAGTAATTGTTACAGAGACCATAAGGCCCACAAAGCCTAAAATAGTTACTATCCGCTTCTTTACAGAAAAAGTTTGCCAACCCCTGATCTAAAGGATCTTAATTCCATGGAAGTTTGGCCCTTTATTTTCAGGATGAATTTTTACTTTTCTTGGAATTGTCATTTTTCACAACTGGATCTTCTCTTTTGATTTTCAGTCATATTTTGAACATTCATTGTATTAATGAGTTAGCAAAATCTGTTAAAGGAAAAATTAATTTATATATTTGTCTGTTTAATTCTTGGTAATCTAAGCTGTGGTATTGGAAAGCTTTGCCTTATTCTGAGGTATCACATTTTAAGGTCAAAACAGATGTAGGTTTAAGATGTTAACAGGTATTTAATACCAAAAAAAAAAGAAACTGGTACTCAAAACTACTTTACCAGCTTGTACTTATTTCCTTCGGCAAGTTAAGTGGTGACTACAAGCAAGCAAGGATGGGGATTGAAGGCATATGCTACATTTTGGGGAACTGTCTGGTCTCTCACTTCCCAGGTGGTGTCTACTCATAGATGTCTTTGCCCCGATCTTTACTAGAGGTGGGAATCCCACCATATGGTCAGCATGTGGTGGTTTGTGATCAGTTCAGCATGGTCCAGAGACATGTAGGAGTCAATGTTCATAGTGATCTGGCAGGCCAATCTTTATATGCTAATTGGGGTGTCTGGATATTCTGGATATACCTCAAATCTTATAAGTTTGCTGTTGCATCAGCTACGTTGTGTTAGTTACACTGCGAGTTATGTTACACTGGTTATATAAGTTGCTACATAAAACATGTTTTAACTTTAGGGTATACCAAGTGTTAATCTGCTTTGAGTAAGTTAGCTACATACTTATCTGTTATATGTTTACAACCTTATTTTTAAGAAAATCATTTTCAAGCAAGGGAATATTTTTGGTGGGAGAATTTGTTTACTATTCTTAAGCGTTAATGAACATATCTTATTCACTCCTATTTACATGTGGGATAAATTATCTTCTATAGAAACTTCATTTCAGCTTGATTTGTTAGTATAATGTGTGAACATAAAATTTAGTTTTGTAATATAATTTCAGCATGAGAATATCTTTACCAGAAGTACAATAAGGAGAAAAAAAGCAAGCCAATTTTTTTTTTTTCCTGAGTTGCTGAAATTATAGGTGTGCCACTGTCCAGCTACACTGATTGGTTTTCAAGGTCCTCAAGTAGATTGAAAATGACAGTGCCACTTTTGCTTACAGCCTATGATCATTACTATTCACATGGTTGCTACCTAAGTGCAGGAAAGTATAGAAAATACAGAGTAGCACATGAAATATTTGGAAATGAAATTTGTTAAATGCATTTTTAAACTAATAAACTTTATTTTTAGAGCTGTTTTAATTCCCACATAATTGAGTGAAAAGTTCAGTTCCTATATACCACTATGCCTGGCAGGAACAAAATTTAGTGAAAGAATGTATAAAATTATTTCTGATTTCCCCATGTTTACTTCCACACCATACTTCTGCAAGTCCTGCCAACTTTAAAATGAACCTTTAATCCATCCTCTTATTTTTTGTCTCCTTTCCTTATCCCAGTCCAAACCATATTCATATTCAGTGTTTTGGTTGCAGTAGACATATTGAGTCACAACTTACCTTCCTAATCGCAGTGGTTTAACATAGTAGATGTTTATGGTGGCTTACATAAAGCTCAGTGAGGTTTGGGTTATGATCCTCTTACTATACAATGATAATATGTTCTTAGAGCCCTATACCACCTAGCTTTACTACCTACGCTAGTGACTTTTTAAAGTTTCTACTTTTTTGGTACTGGGAACTAAGCCTAGGGGTATTTACCACTGATCTCTTTCCCAACCCCTTTTTATTCTTTATATTGAGGCAGGATTTTGCTAAGTTGCTGAGGTTCTTGCTAAAGAGCTCAGGCTGGCCTCAAACTTGTGATCCTTCCACATGAGCCTCCTGAGTTGCTGAAATTACAGGTGTGTGACACTGCCCAGCTGCATTGATTGGTTTCACATGGTTGCTACCTAAGTGCAGGGAAGTATAGAAAATACAGGGTAGCACATGAAATATTTGGAAATAAAATTCATACCACAATCAGATTATTAGTTACATTTTAGTTTTCTCATTTCCTCTCATGTCCCACTATAATGCTTTGTCCACCTAGTAGCCAGAATGCTTGGGAAAAAAATATGTTACTGGTTTGCCAATATTTTCCAGTTTGCATTAAAATCTAAATACTTTACCGTCACATGGGCAAGGTATTGCATGGTATAACCCTTGCTTCTTCTCTAAATTTCATAATTGGTATTTAGTGTTACTAAATATTATTTTTGAATAGTAAATTTTAAATATGCATTCTCTTTCATTTTTTCTATATTTATGAAAATGTGATTTTTTTTTAGTGTCAACTTATAAAATCACAGTAATAACTTTAAACTGATTAATAATACCAAGAAAATTCTAAGGGTTATGGTATTTTCAGTCACATTATATACAATAAGAATATTTTTAAGTAATCTTCTGGAAATACCTATATAATGTCCTGTTATAATTGATAAATTCTTATAGCAAAGTTGCAATAATTGCTTCTGTCTGACAGCAAATGATCTGTAAATGGTTTCTTCAATCCCCAGCACTGCAAAAAAAAAAATTTAAAAATAAATAAATAAATAAATAAATGCTTTCTCTGGTTAAACTTTATATGAAAGACATTTCCTTATAGTTAAGTGCATTTTTAAACTAATAATCTTTATTTTTATTTTTATTTTTTTTTAAATATTTGTTGATTGACCTTTATTTATTTATTTAGATGTGGTGCTGAGACTTGAACCCAGTGCCTCATGCATGCCAGGCAAGTGTGCTGCCGCTGAGCCATAACCCCAGCCCAGTAAACTTTATTTTTATAGCAGTTTTAATTCACAGCAGAATTGAGTGAAAAGTTCAGTTCCTAGATACCTGTGGTCCCCACAAATGCACAACATCCTCCATTATCAACGTCTCACACCAGAGTGCATTATACATATTATAATTTATGAACCTGTATTGGCACATAATTATCTCTCAAAGTCCATAATTAACATTATGATTCACTTTTGGTATTATACATTTTTTATGCAAGTGTTTTGTACAGACCCACACCTGTAATTCCAGCAAGTTGTGAGGCTAAGACAGGAGGATTGCAGGTTTGAGGCTAGCCTCAGCAATTTAGTGAGACCCTGTTTCAAAATAAAAAATAAAAAGGGCTGGGGATGTAGCATGGCAAAGTGCCCCTGGGTCAAAAACCAGTACCAAATAACAACAACAACAACAATAATACGTTTAAGAAAGGAACCAAATAATTGTGGAATGGTTTGGGATATTTTCATGAAATAAATTTTTAATTTATTTTTTAGAAGTAATTGAACATAATTCCTTTATTTTATTTATTTTTATGTGGTGCTGAGGATCGAACCCAGGGCCTCACATGTGCTAGATGAGCACTCTACTGCAGAGCCACAACCCCAGCCCCTCATGAAATAATTTTTAATATCATAAACTATAGGTTAGAACAGTGCCTTGTCACACACACACACAAAAAAAAAAAAATTAGGAGGAGCTAGTATGCAATCTTTATTTTTAAATATGTGTGTAAGAATAGCTCTATATTAATTTTGTGTGGTCTCTAGGTTGCAAATCTTGGGAACCAGATTTTTAACAAGCTGTTTAATAAATGTCTTAAGACCTGTAATTAGCATGTTTATTTGAAATGTAGCATAGCATTTATATATTTGATAATTTTTGTCAATTGATTTAAGTAATTAGTTAATAGTGATGCCTGTTTTAGCAAATGAAAATTACATATAGTTAAATTGAGTATTCTACAGTTTGATGCATGGATTTAAATCTAGTTCTAATGGCTTGTCCAGTATTTGACATCTTCTTACATATAAAAACCTTGTGTAACAGATTTTACCTGGCATTGATAGTATCATTCATTTTCCTTTTCTTTGCTGGCCAACCCTATTTAAACCCTTTTCGGTGATCAAGTATTACATTGCAGCAGGATCATCCTACTCTTGAGTACATAATATTGAATAAAAACAAGTATTCATAAGATGGAAAGGTAAGGAAATTAAATCTTTTTCTTTGATAAGAAATCAATCTGCCAGTCTCCCTTCATGTAATTGGATGTTTTGTAAAGGAAATTAGATTTTATGAGAGGAGTAAAGGAAGTTATTAAGTGTCTCTGTGAAACTTGACTGCTTTTGTGCTTTGAGTAACAGTGTTTGTCTTTGTTCACAGTAACTGTAGTACTGAATGGAAGTGGCTTGTAGACAGAGCAAGAGTTGGCAGCAGATGGACTTGGCTTCAAGCCCAGATTTCAGAGTTAGAATACAAAATTCAACAACTTACAGACGTTCACAGGCAAATCCGCGCCTCCAAGGTATTGTTTGTGTTTTTCCATTTTTGGTTAAAAAATGTTACTGTTTTAGTTTTTACTCATTTCATTACACAAAATAAGCTTTACAAAGTTTTCTAAGTGTAACTAGTTTATGTAAATATTTTTGATACATTAATTAGTATAAATTAAACCTAGATTTGTGAAGCCTTTGCATGCAGTAATATCATTTATAATACTTTCTTAGCAATAGAGAACTTCTTTCTTGAATTCTAGTTAATAGAAATGATATACTTTTTTTTCAAAATTTTTTATTATGGCAAAAAGCACCTATCAGAATTTACTATTTTAATCATTTTTCTGTGTACAGTTTAGTGGCATTAACTACATTAATAATAATAGGTATCCATTTCCACAAGTTTTTTCATCTTTTAAAACTAAGAATCTATACCCATTAAATAACAACTATCCATTTCTCCCTTTTCTACTCCTGGCAACCATGTGTGTCTCGTTTTGGCTATTCAGAGTACCTCACATATGTGGAATCATTAAAGTATTTGCCTTTTTTTTCACTGGCTTATTTTCCTTTAGCATAATGTCTGCAAGTCTCGTTGTCATTGTAGCATATGTTAGGAATGTTTTCCTTTTTAAATCTTGAATAATATTCCATTTTGAGTATATACATTTTACTTATCCATTCATCCACTGATGGACACTTGTGTTGCTTCCACATTTTAATTACTGTAAGTATGCTACAAACATGGGTAAAAGTATCTCTTTAAAGCCCTGTTTTCCGTTATTCAGAATTGCTGAATCTGCAGTAATTCTATTGTTAATTTTTTGCAGAACCACTATGCAGTTTTCCAGAGTGCCTATATCAGTATATATCTCTACCAACAGTGCACATTGGTTCCAGTTTCTCCAAATCATCACCAACATTTATTTTCTATTTTTTTGGTGTATTTTGTTTTTAATACTAGATATCATAAAGGATGTGAGGTGATGTCCCATTATAGTTTTGGTTTTCATTTTACTAATTATAAATGATGTTTACATTTTTATATGCTTATTGGCCCTTTGTATATATTCTTTAGAGAACAATTTAAGCCCTTTGGCCATTTTGAATGGGATTGTTCACTTTTAGTTGTTGAGTTTTACAGGTTCTATAGATATATTTTGTCTATTAATTGCCTATCCAATATGTGATTTGCAAATATTTTCTCCCATTTTGTGGTTGTCTTTGTACTCTGTTTTTTGTTTGTTTGGGGGCTATTTTGTTTCCCTGTGCTGGAAATTGAACCCAGGGGTACATTACCACTGAACTATATGCCTAGTCCTTTTTATTATTTTGAGACAGAGTCCTGCTGAGTTGCTTAGGGACTCACTAACTTGCTGAGGATGGCCTCAAACTCGCAATCCTCCTGCCTCTGACTTCAGTGTTGCTGAGATTACAGGCTTGAACCACCATGCCCACCCAATCTGTCATATCACTCTGTTGATATACTTTTGATGCCCAAATTTGTAAGTTTTAAAATCAAGTCCAGTTTGTCCTTTTTTTTGTATTTTTACTGTGGCTTTGGTGCCCTGTCTAATAAATTATTACCAAATCTAATGTCATGAAGATTTTCCTGTTTTCTTCTAAGAGTTTTATAGTTTTAGGTCTTATACTATGGTCTTTAATCCACTTTCAGTTAGTTTTTATATGTGGTGTTAGGTAAGGATCCAACTTAATCCTTTTTTTTTTTTAAAGAGAGAGAGAGAGAGAGCACGAGCGAGAGAGAGAGAAAATTTTAATATTTATTTTTTAGTTTTCGGCAAACACACATCTTTCTTTGTATGTGGTGCTGAGGATCGAACCCGGACCGCATGCATGCCAGGCGAGCACGCTACCTTTTGAGCCACATCCCCAGCCTCCAAATTCATTCTTTTGTGTGTGAATATCCAGTTTTCCCAGGACCACTGGATGAAAACAGTTCTTTCCCCATTGAAGGATCTTGGTATCTTTGTCAAATGACTAATATGCAAATATACAGTTTGTGAGTTCCCTATTATTTTCCTTTGGTCTACATCTCTGCCTTTATGCCACTACTACACTGTTTTGATTGCCATAGAAGTTTTTGAAATCAGGAAATGTGAATCTTTTATCTTTGTTCCTTTTTAATATTTTGTTGGCTATTGGTCTTTGGGGATTCTATGTGAATTTTAGGATTTTTTTTCCTTGTAAAAATGCTGTAGGAGTTTTATAAGGATTGTATTGAATCTGTTGATCACATTGGATAATATTAACATCTTAAAATATTGTCTTTCAGATTATGAAAATGAGATGTATTTCAATTTCTAATTTCTTTCAGTAATGTTTTGTAGTTTTCCTTGTATAAGTCTTTTACCTCTGTGGTTAAAAATTGTTATTATTATTTTATTCTTTTTAATACTATTGTAAATAGAGTTTTCTAATTTTCTTTTCAGATTGTTCATTGTTAGTATATAGAAATGTAATATTTGTTAACTTTTTAGGCTTCTATTTTGCTGAATTAATTTATGAATTCTGACAGTTTTTTTTGTGGAATTTTTAGGATTTTCTACAACATCTGAAAACTGATAATTTTACTTCTTTATTTACAATTTTGATGCCATTTATTTCTTGTCCAATTACCCTAACTAGAACTTCTAGTACTATGTTGAATAGAGGTGGTATTCATTTTTCCTTAATTGTGAAGCAGTAAAGCCATCAAGTTCAGAGCTTTTCTTTGTTAGGAGATTTTTGATTACTCACTCAGTCTTCTTCCTAGTTATAAGTTGATTTAAAGTAAAATCAACTGGTTACTGTTTTCCTTTTTACAATTCCTTTATTTGTTTTTTGTTTTTTAAAGAGATTCCTTTATTTTTTTTAATGGGCCTTTATTTTGTTCATTTATTTATACACAGTGCTGAGAATCAAACCCAGTGCCTCACACATGCCAGGCAAGACCTCTACCACTGAGTCACAACCCCAGCTCTACAATTCCTTTATTTGTAAAGTTAGGTTGTTGTTTCAGATTTTTGTTCTTTTTTAAAAAATGTGTTTACTGCTATAAATTTCCCCCTTAGCACTACTCGCGCTGTATTCCATAAGTTTGGTGTGTTGCATTTTCATTTTCATTCATCTCTAAGTATTTTCTATTTTCCCTTGTGATTTTTTTCTTTGATCAACTGGTTGTTTAAGTGTATATTGTATACATTCTACAAAATTTTTGAATTTTCTAGTTTTACTTCTATTATTTTGACTTCTAGTTGGAAAATATACTTTTTTTTTGTAGTTGGACACAATAACTTTATTTTATTTATTTATTTTTATGTGGTGTTGAGGATCAAACCCAGGGCCTTGCACGTGTGAGGCGAGTGCTATACTGCTGAGCCATAACCCCAGCCCCTGAAAAATATACTTTTAATGATATCTTTCTTTTCAACATATGGTCTGTTCTGGAAAATGTCCCGTATTTAATAGAGAAGAACCTATATGCTGTTGTTGGGTAGAGTTCTATATATGTCTGTTAAATTCAGTTGCCTTATTGTATTGTTTAAGTACTGTGTGGACTTAATTCTGTCCTTTATTAAGAAGTGGGTAATAGAAATCTCCAACTGTTAGCATAGAACTTTTGATTCTCCCTTCAATTCTGTTAGTTCTTATTTCATACATATTGAAGTCTATTATTAATTGTATAAATGTTTATAATTGTTATATCTTATTATATTGTATTTTATTAATATATTATGCCCTTTATATCTTATTTTTTAATTTAGTCTATTTTGGCAGATATTAGTATAGCCATCCCTTCTCTTTCTTGGTTACTATTTGCATACATATTCCTGAAGTATTCCATTTAATAGTTTCAGACCATGGTTGACTATAGGTAACTAAAGTTGCTAAAAGCAAAACCAAAGATAAGTGGAGACTACTATATAGAATTCTTGGTGCAAAGATTTTTTTGTTGTTGTTTCTTTGTTTTAGCACTTTGAATATTTTGCTCCACTGCTTTCTTGCTTACGGTTTCTGCTAATAATCTGTTGATGATATTACTGATAATCCCTTATAAGTTGCTTCTTTCTTGTTGCTTTCAAGATTCCTGTGTGTGTGTGTGTGTGTGTGTGTGTGTGTGTGTTTCACTAGTTTGATAATAATTTACTTCTGTGTGGATCTCTTTGATTTCATCTTACTTAGAGCTTGTTAGGAGCCTTGGGTATTCATGTCTTTCTTCACATTTGGGAAGTTTTTTTTTAATTAGTTAATTTATTTGTTCTAATTTCTTATATATAACAGCAGAATGCATTTCAATTCATAGTACACAAATAGAGCACAATTTTTCATGTCTCTGTATACAAAGTAGAGTCATACCATTCGTGTCTTCATACATGTACTTAGGGTAATTGTATCCATCTCTTTCCACAATCTTTCCTACCCCCATACTCCCTAGCTTCCTCTCCTTCCCCTTTGCCCTATCTAAAGTTCCTCCTTTTCTCTCATGCCCCCCTAGCCCCCTTAAGGATCAGCATCCACTTATCAGAGAAAACATTTGGCCTTTCATTTTTGGTCTTGGCTTACTTCACTTAGCATCATATTCTCCAACTCCATCCATTTACCTGCAAATGCCGTGATTTTATTTTTTTAATGCTGAGTAATATTCTATTATGTGTATATACCATAGTTTCTTTATCCATCATCTATTGAAGGACATCTAGGTTGGTTCCATAATTTAGCTATTGTGAATGGTGCTGCTATAAACATTAATGTGGCTGTGTCACTATAGTATGATGATTTTAAGTTCTCTGGATGTATGCTGAGGAGTGCGAAAGATGGGTCAAATGATAGTTCCATTCCAGGATTTCTAAGGAATCTCCATACTGCTTTCCAGATTGATTGTACCAATTTTCAGTCCCACCCACCAATGTTCAAGAGTGTGCCTTTTCCCCCTACATCTTCACCAACACTTATTGTTGCTGGTGTTTTTAATAACTGCCATTCTGACTGGAATGAGATGAAATCTTAGAGTAATTTTGATTTGCATTTC